AAGACCTTCTCGCAGCAGTTCCCGTCCGTGGATTATGATCCTAAATGTAAATGACCCTCCACTCGGACAAGACGCATTGAGGATGGAGTTGTCCGGATAATACCTCGCTTTTAGTACTCTTGCACATAACGTGTTTGGCATTTTAAACAACCTCCAAGCTTGTTTTGCAAGCAAAGCTTGGTTAAAGCATTCCGGATCTCTGAACCCAAATCCTCCTTCATTCTTCCTTGAACACATCTTGTCCCATGCAATCCAGTGTACTCTCTTCTCGCCATTCGCCTCACCCCACCAGAAGTTTGAAGAAATAGAAGACAAGTTCCCGCACATTTTCTTCGTGAGTTGAAAGCAGCTCATGGTAAGAGTTGGAGTAGCCTGAAGTCCTGACTTGATCAACACCTCCCTCGCCTTCTTGGATAGTCCTTGGCCTTTCCACCCGGACACCTTCCCCTTTGCACTCTCTTTTACATACTTGAAAGTTCCGTCCTTGGATTTCCCAACAACTGTCGGTAGCCCCAAATAGCGCTCACCCAACGCCTCCGAAGCTATACCCAAAGTTTGTTTGAGGGCCACCTTATCCTCCTCATCACACCCATTACCAAAGAATATAGCTGATTTATCCAAGTTTACTTTTTGGCCCGAAGCCCCTTCATAGTCCTGCAAGATCTCGCGTAGGCAAAGAAAGTTATCATGAGACCCTTCCAAGAACACGATACTGTCATCAGCAAAGAGCAAATGAGTGACCGTGGGGCCCGTGCTCCCAAACGAGACACCCTTGATCCTCTTCTCCTCCTGTGCGTGCTTCAACAAAGCTGAGAATCCTTCTACACAAAAAAGGAAAAGATAGGGGGACAATGGGTCTCCCTGCCTTAGTCCTCTACTCGGGGTAAATCTATGTGAAAGTCCCCCATTCAACTTGACCGTAAAACTTGCTGTCCTAACGCATCTCATGATCATCTCTCTCCAGTGAGCAGAGAAGCCATACTGTGTCATCGCCCGGTCTAGAAACGACCACTCCACTCTATCGTATGCCTTCATCATATCAAGCTTAATTGCACACAGTGGTTTCCTCCTCTTCCTCTTCCTAATTGCATGCACGCACTCATAGGCCACCAACACATTATCTGTCATTAGCCTTCCTGGGACAAAGGCACTTTGCTCCTCCGCAATCAACATAGGCAACACCACCTTCAGCCTATTAGCCAATGTTTTCGACGCTATCTTATGCAATACATTGCACAGACTAATGGGTCGGAACTGAGCAAGTAACTCCGGAGAGACCACCTTGGGAATCATCACGATTACTGTATCATTGAAACCATCCGGAGTCGTTCTCCCAGCCAGGAAATCTCGAATAGCTGCACACACCTCCTCTTTCACCAACGACCAGTGTCTTTGGTAAAACATAGCTGGGAATCCATCCGGGCCCGGGGCTTTCGTTGGTCCCATTTGGAATAACGCTTGTTCAATCTCCTCGTCCGTAACCGGTGCTACCAGTCTAGCATTCATCTCATCCGTCACGGTCGTCTCAATATGGAGCAAAATTTTGTCCACATCCCTTGACCCCTCCGACGTGAACAATCGCTCATAGAAGTGTGCGGCCATTGCACGCATGCCATCATCATCAGTACATCTCGTATTATCCTCCCTCCATAGCGCCTTCACTGTATTTTTCCTCTTCCTATGCGAAGCTCTATTCTGGAAATACTGCGTATTTTGGTCGCCGTATTGTAGCCAATCCACTCTCGATCTCTGCTTATAATATATCTCCTCCCGCTCGTATAGCTCATGTAACTGGTCCTCAATATCCTTTATCTCCTGCCTATACCCCGTCCTCAGAGCCCGTTCCTTCGCGTCACGTAGCTGCCACTTTAAATGCCCAATCTGTTTTTAATTGACCCAAACACCTCTCTGCTCCATTTTTGCATTGCCTTGGCCATCAAGCCAAACTGCTGGCATGCCGCCACCACGCCCGGCTGCATGTGATTGGCTGCATGGGCCTGTTCCCATGCATTGACTATCATGCCTTTGTAGTCCACGTGTCTGGCCCATGCAACTTAGTACATGAAAGGCCGCTGCGCTCGCTCTGAGTTGGCGACCAGTGTCGCCGCAACCCGCACTAGGAGCGCCTGGTGGTCGGACTCCTCCGTTAGAATATGCTGTACTTCCGAAGCCGGGAACATTTGCATGAATGATGCAGTGCATGTTGCTCGATCGAGTCTAACTTGAATATTTTCCTCCGCATGTCTCTTGTTATCCCATGTGAACGGATACCCTGAGAATCCCATATCTGCTAGTCCACAGTCCTCCAAACAATCTCTAAACTCATCCATCTGTTTTATGCATCTAGGCTTACCACCAATCTGCTCTTTTTGCACCAATGCCTCATTGTAATCACCAACACATATCCAAGGCATATCGTCCTGTGTTCTCAAGTACCTCAACACTTCCCATGTTTTGGCCCTTTTCTCCAAACACGGCTCCCCATAAATTCCAGTGAATCTATAGGTTTTGCCCTCCACTTCCACCTGTGCATCTATGTAATACTGACACCATGGCCTGACGCTCACCTTCACATAATCCCTCCACCACATTGCTAGCCCACCACTCTTGCCTACACAGTTCACTGCCACTCCATTGGTGAATCCCAACTTCCATTTTAACCTCTCCATAGCATTTGCAGATTTTTTTTTGTTTCGGATAAAAACACCACCGCTGGGTTGTACGACCGTACCAGGTCTCTAAGTTCGCCAACTGTCGAGTCCAACCCCAGTCCTCGACAGTTCCAGGCCAGTAGACTCATTGTGCCCGGCGGTCCCGCCTCGCAGGGTCCGCCGATATCTCATTACCTTCTTCAATACGATCAAACACTGACTCTGTTTTCTGCCTAGTTTCCCGTACAAAACCATCACTCTCCACCAGCCTCTCCCCATCCTTCTTTGGGACCCAGTACTGTTTCTGCCTCCTCTTCCTCTCATACTCTGCCCCCTGCCTCGGGCTATCCGGACTGCGTTGGACTGGCCTGTATTCCGGTCTAGGTTTTCTCACATAGTATCCTTGCCTTCTCTCTCTCTCTCTCTCCCTATACTGGCTAGAGGAACCAGCCCCATCAACCCAACTATGCCCGAACTGCTTATAGTTTGCTCTGAGCTCCGACTGTCTTTCCTGTTGTCGCTGGCGTAATTTGGACCGCAGCTCCCTTTCTCTCTTTTGCTCAAGATCTTGACGTAGATCCCTCTCCTCCCTTGGGGGCTCCTCCTTCTTCTGCTTATCATCATAACCACTCCTCTCTTTATCCCCGGTCCCCTCTCCGCCAGTGCGCGAGGCGGCCAGCTTGGCAAACTCGTTCTGTAAATTACGCTTCGTCGGAAGGTCTCTCACAACCCCCGTTTTCATACTGAATCTCCCTCCCTCATTAGATTTCACACTGCCGTAGCTATTCGAGCTCCTTGACAAACCACAGCCCGCTCCTTCCTTTTGTCCCATAGAACGCCCAGGTGATGCCCTCAGCCATCCTCCCCATTGCTGCTTCGGATCCTTTGTTGGAACACACCCTCGCTCACCATGAACCAAGCAACCACACTCAAAGCAAAAATGCGGGATCTTCTCATACTTAAAATCAAACCATGTCTGTTCCACATCATCTTCAGATTTCTTCAGGTAGAATCCTCGCACCAAAGGCTCCTTTATAGGCAGCTTCACCCTGAATCTAAGCTCCGAGCCCTTAGCAAACCCATCCCTCTCAACATCCACTCGTACACACTTGCCCAACCAATTCCCCAACCCTTCGCCAAACGCCTTTGATCTCTTGTCCAACGGGAGATCGTCAACCCTAACCCATACATCAACATGTTCGAAAGTCATCTCAGATGGCCTTGTTGCCCCATCATACTCTGTCAGCACCAAAACAGCGAAATCAAATTGCCAGGGCCCGTTGTTTAGAGCGTGTTTCCAATCTCCCTCACTGCCGAACGTGACGACGAACAAGTTCCTGCCGATAACCTTAAACTGTGCTTCCCTGTGCAGGCCCCATGCCCTAGTCATGGATTTTTCTAGAGCTACCTTGTTCATCAGTCTTGGGGGGAACGCCTTGCCGATCGCTGACCACCTCGTCGGCCGCCCCCGATCCTGTTCGGGCTCTTTGAAGATAAACCCCTTCGCTTCTTTCTCCGTCAGCACTAAACCCCCCAAGCGAGCCGTCAAGCCTGGAGAGAGGGAAGCGCTTCTGCTATGGGAGCCCAGTGGCGTCCTCATCGCAGGGTCGATCGCTTCTTTCTGTGCTTCCGAACGCGGCGTAGGAACTGCTCTTGGAGTACTAGTGCCCCCACCCTCCGCCGTTCCTGGAACACCCGCCGCTCCGTTTGCCTTCGCACCTTCATCCTTCATCTTCTCCGCCATGGATCCGACGAAGAAATCCCACACCGGCACAAGGCCCGCTTGGAGACGCAGTCGTCCCTTACACGCCGCCGGGATCCTCACCACCACCGCACGGAAAACCCTAACCCTAGCTTTCGAAGCGACCGCCTTGCGATCGCCTCAATCGCCTCTTCGTGTTTTCCGCTCGAGGTGGACCCGTTTGCGGTAATCACATGTTGAGATTTTAAGGTGTATTAAATCATTGTGAGTCTCCCCAACGTGTGGATTCAATGTGACATGGGTCCGTCGACGAGGAAGATAAACATTCCGTAGCCGGAGAACAAGGCCGTTTGAAGTGGCTCATGAAGGAAACACTTTTGCCGGTCCACATTTGTAGCGGAGAGGAGACGAACAACTTTATGGAGCCGGTGAGGTGAGGCGCACGGGAGCACACGAAACCAGAAAAAGGCCAAACAGGGGGCGCCGCCCGCCGCCCGCCGCACCCACCAGAAAACCCGCTCGTTATCGTTCCACCCCGAGACCACCCGACCGGACCCCCCGTTCGCCGTCTTCCTGCCGCTGCCGCGCTCGCCGCCGGCCAGATACATCCAATCCTAGCGCCGCCCGCGCGCCCCAGCTCCGACCCAATGGCGTGGGGCGCGCCCGCGCGGGCGCAGTCGTCGCGGGTGCAGGCCCTCTACGACCTCTGCAAGCGCACCTTCCCCTCCCCCTCCTCCGCCGCCCCTCCCCCCGCCCCTCCGCCGGCCAGCGCCGTCCGGGCCATATCCTCCCTCATGGGTAACCCCCGGCCCTCCTCCTCCCCTTCTCCATCTGCCTATCCATGGCCGCCCTGTCCATCCATGCTTGCGTAGCGTAGTCTCTGCTTCCTCCTATGCTCCTCAATGTGCGCGGTCGGTTATATGCAGATACTATCAGCCCCGCGGACGTCGGGCTCAGGGACGACAGCCTCGGGGACGGCGGCGGCGGCGGCGGGCACGGGTTCTTCGACTCGACCTTCGTCAAGGGCGCGGCCAGGGCAGCCAGGTGGGCGCAGCCCATCACCTACCTGCACGTCTACGAGTGCGACGCCTTCTCTGTGAGTGCACTTGGTTATCCTGTCACTGCAATCACCACTTGGCGGACAACCATTGCTTTGAAACCGATGGCACAATTTGTGACATAGATCCATTTAGCATCCATATATGCTGACAATTGTTCGGATTTTCGACGAGGGTAGTGTTGATTAATGATTATGACCTCATTCCTGCTGCTTTGTGAACAAAGGCATGCCAAGGACATCGAGCTTGTTCTAGATTTCTAGCATACTTTTGGTTAGATGCTCAATTCCAAATGATTTTCCCTCCATCCCTTTCTAATAGTTAAAGTAAGTACATATCCACTTCAGTGTTCCTCTGTAGTTTATAAGCCATCTTTACTTGTTGAGGTTTGCAACCTACAATTTACTTGTGTAATAACTGGCCATGTTTACCATTGTGACTCCACTATCAGCTTTGACAAGCTATCTTATCTTTTGAACGAACTTATAATTTCATATTGTAGTTTATTCCACATTTTTAATCTTTGCTTGCTTGATTACAACTCTTTTAGCAGCAATACTGCAGGGCACTTGCTAGTTATAGCTTGTGGAGGCTATTTAACATTTTTTTCCTGGTGTTTTCTATGTATTTTTGCAGATTGGAATATTCTGCTTGCCAACTTCAGCCGTTATTCCTCTCCATGATCATCCAGGAATGACTGTGCTGAGCAAAATCCTGTATGGTTCGATGCATGTGAAATCGTATGACTGGGTAGAGCCTACTGTTCTGGCGAGTAATCAACAAGGTTATTTTCGTGCTCTACTTCAAGTTTAAATATCTGTTTTGCTTATTTCATTTATTTTCTGTTATTTTCATGTTCGGTCCTTATTTCTTACAGTATAATGTTTCTTCTGCTTGGTTTCCACCTCCAAGTAGCGAACTGATGAACACTGTTAGCTGTGTCGTAGTACCAATGGTCCAATACTACTGCATTTCGTCACCTGAACCTGTTAGTTCTTTTTGATCGGGTGTTTTGACGGGCTGACATATGTTAGTTATGACTTACCAGTGTTCAAATCATTTTAGAGTGGTTGTTTCCACGTGTTCACCATATTTCAAAGTCTGATCTTCAAAAGGGGTATTGCTAGCCTGAAATAATTTAATTTGTTTATTGCTCATATGCAGTGAGACTGGCCAAGTTACATGCAGATGATGTTCTTACTGCTCCATGTCCAACTACCGTTTTGTATCCCCAAAGTGGCGGGAACCTACACTCCTTCACTTCAGTTGCCTCTTGTGCTGTTCTTGATGTGCTTGCCCCACCATACGCTGAGGATGCTGGTCGAATTTGCACCTATTTTAATGATTATCCGTTTTCTAGCTTCTGTAAGTGAAACTCCTTTTAATTATAGTGCATGTTTGTTCTCATGGCGAGATCATTGCTAATTCCTTAACTAAATTAACTCTTTGGTAGTAGCTACACATCATCCATGAGAGATATTTATTTCTGGAAGCATATATTATTTGTTAATGTGCATTTTAGTTTGATGATCCTAGAAATAATAATTGCCTTGTAAATCTTGTTAATGAAAAGGTGGGAACCCTGGTTTAGGGAAATAATACAACTGATACTCTTGCCCATTAAAGTACCAGTGTAGGTGTGAGATCGCTCTTGGTTTTCTAGGAGTAAAGGCATATTTATGATGTATGAGAGTGATGTTACAGGATGGCAGCAACCGATCAGTTGATTTCACTTTGAATCAGATACTGGATGTAGCAAACACCAGTATGGTGGCTCATCTGTACAAACCCTTTAATGGAATTGTGATGTGTATTTGGAGCATTTAAATGACCCTCGACATTGAAATATAGCCCTTGCTCCTTCTTTAGGACCCAAGGAGATATCCCGTGCTTCCTCTTCTTATGGTGCTTCCGTGCTATCTACATGTAAAACTATATCCAAAAAATTATAAAAAGACTGATTTTATTTTTGTATGCATCTACCATGCCTCAAAATTTTATATGAAAACTCAGTTCTTAGATAAAGAAACAAAAAAAAAGGAAAATTAGACGGTGAATAGTAACAAAATTGAGTTGTGTACTATGCACAGTCAGATTTGTCTTCTGTGTTTCTTGAGTTGTAAATTGAATTTGATCTTGATATTTTGAGTCATGGAAGATGTGTATTGTGTCAAGGTTTTCAACAAAAATCGTATATTCATAGTTTCTAGATTCTTCCTTTTTTTTTTGCTTAAGTAGCACAGAAACATCCTAAGAGGAGCACCGAACATATCCATTTTTGGGTCCTTAGCAAATTCAACAGCCTATTATTTCCAGTAGTGGCTCTCGGTATGGGTATGCAGATGGCATGGAGGACATATAGATCTACAGGACCATACGTTACCCTTGGGTGTGAGCAAGATTGCCAACTATGGTGGTTAGGTTAGGTCTGCTCATGCTAAGCATGACATACCTGCCACACTGGGGAATGCATGCTGATCCTCCTATTGCCTCAGATTGGTGGCAGGTCAAGATTTAGCCTGTCACCTATAGTAGCAAGCATGTTGTTTTTGCCGTTTAGTGTCATAACTCGTAGGTTTGATGATTTAGGTACTTCAACCAACATTCTTTTATGTTCTGTTTGTTCATTCCCAATTTGAGAAACTATCCGATTGTAGTATCCTAACATCCTAGAGCTGCTGATGGTTTTTCATCTTGTCTGGATACTCTTGATTTCCAGTCTGCTCTCGCATCTTCTAGCTTCTCATGATTTCATGTGATGCACAAACTGCAGCAAGTGGACGCGCAAAGACAGTCGATAGCCCAGATAACTATGCCTGGATTGAAGCCATAAACTCACCTGTGTACATTAACATGCGCCCTGGCATGTATACTGGCCCGACTGTACAGGTATCCCCTAACTTTAACATGCTATATTCCTCTTTATCAGCCTCAGTCATGCTAAAGAATATTACTTGGATGCAATTCCTGATGCGTTTGCGCTTTCCAGGACCGCCTATCATAACCGACGAACCGAGGAGCATCAAGCAGTGTGCCCAGGCAGCGAGGCACCAATATAGTTCTTCCAATGTAGTGTTGTAAATGTACCGTAACCTGTTACTTTTCTATTTAGACTTTATGCTAGATGGATGGCCACAGTGAATATACAGTTAGAACTTTCTCATGCTCCGTTTAGTGGAGGAATTCACATTCTGTGGCCTGATCTTGTCGCAATTCTGTTTTTGCGGCCCCATAGTATTATCTTTGCAAGTTTGGTGGTAGATTCTGCCATTCCTGGTGCACACTGTATTCTGACTTCTGAGTTAAACTGGAAGAACTTTGGTTCCTGCGTAGCAGACCATGCACTGGGCTAGGGTAGTGAATGCTGATATATTCAAAATTCCATGCAAAAATCAGCTGGAATCGTGATTGGCGCCATGAGAGAACACGATGCAGGTATTCAGCCACTGTTATCAACGGATAAATATGCATGAACAATGACATTCTTATATTTCGCCTTGCATTTACGCTGTTCATCATGTGCGATTCGCTGATTCCACGTGCACCAGGTGTTCCCAGCTACTCCCTCCGTTCTAAAATAGATGACTCAACTTTGTACTAACTTTACTTAGTACAAAATAGATGACTCAACTTTGTACTAACTAACTTTACTTAGTACAAAGTTGAGTCATCTATTTTAGAACGGAGGGAGTAATTTCCAATTAGGATGTCACAGTAATACGAAGAAGAAAGGGTGCAAAGCAATCATTATATCAATATATCATGTTAAACAGGAACCAGATTGAGCAGACAGAGGTTGCTTCTAGCAGCAGATGCTTGTCACACCACACTAACTTAAAACGAAAACAATGTAGAGCAGAAGGCTAGGGTCAGGGAGGGTGCTGTGTCTCCAGCTTCCTGATAATGGAGTTGGTCACGCCCCAGCTGAACCCTCTGTACTGAAGCCACCTCACGATGCGCGCACGCCGCTTCTCCAGGGGCAAGCTGCTCCCTCGCAGCCACTGCTTCGAGGCCTGAGCAAAGAGATGATCCATGGAAGCTTCTGAGAGGCCATGTGAGGCCTGGTCTTCGTCACCACGGTCGTCCTGGAACACGCTCCTCGTTGCCTGGTCCGCTTCGGCCTCTGGCACCCCTTTCTGGCGAAGCGCCTGATTGGTGTGAAAATAAACATGAGATGCTTGATGAATGATCGCAACATCTTCATGAAAGTAAGCATAAAAATTAATGTCAATGGGGAGTGTTTCGACAACTATGCATGACAATTATAATTACAGAGGATTTCAGTGAAAAAAAAAATCAGGAATGGGACACCGAATGTATCATTTGGGAGAGAAGACGCGAGAAAAGACTACCTGCTTTATACGCCTTGGACCCCAAGTTGATGATTGCCACCGGGATCGTGAAAATGATTCCGCATAATAACCATCATTCAACAGACCCCTTAAGGAACAAAGAAGGCATGAAAATTTATTCCGCATAATGATCGTGAAGCTAGTGAATAGTGATTCAACTATGACGACGATCCAATGCATGACTATTATTCACATTTTCATGTCAGGATATCCAACGGGAGTCTTACCTTGACTTGAAATCAGCAATCACAGAGTCGACTGTGTCGGCAGAATAGTTCTTACCACATAGTTTCTTCCTGAGCTCAGAAACACTGTATGCTCTGCCCAAGATGAACAAAAAGGCGTATTTCAGCGTCCAGTTTCAACACCGGTATATAAGCGCCAAACGTACAAGTGAATAATAGTGACCGCAATTCAAAGCACACAATTTCCTTTAGACTCTGTGTGGTACTCCCTATATAAGAGCGTTTAGAACACTAAAGTAATGATCTAAACACTCTTATATTTCTTTACGGAGGGAGTACTCAACAAATTGGCAAATTAAAGAGATTAGGCAGCCTACTATTAGCATCCGATACCTTGCGGTACCGTGGCTTCCAGACCATGTTTTCCCGAAAGAAAAGGTCTTGCACTTCTAAGCAGCAAAATCCTGCTTTTATTTTTCTACAACTGATTCTCCTCAGGTTTCCAACTATCTCAGTGTGTAAGACGAACAGGCAAACTTCACGATGTTCACACCGAGACCTATCGCGTCGAATCCATGGGCAAACATCGCCTACTGAACATTCACTAGATATGCAGCCAATGGCACATTGCTTCTATGAAGGTTTTGAGGGAGATTCCTCTGATATCGCCAGAGGTGGATATATATTCAGTAACAGTAGACCACGGTCTATGATCTGTCAGTCCTGACCTGACAGCAAGCAGTTCGATGGCGCTCTTCTTCGCATCCTTCAGCACGCTTTCGCTGATTCCAGGCACCACGCCATCGCCTTCTCCCTCGTCCAACGAGAGCTGCAGGAACTGCTCGTCCGGAGCACTGTTCTTCGCTGTCAGGCAAAGAATCCAGAAGCAATGTCACACGTCTGAACTTTAATACACACAACCTGACGAGCAAGAGCCGGAATAAGCTGCGGCTCTCACCGGCGTAGGCGCTCCCCTCGTCGGAGAAACCTCGCCGACAGCTCACCAGCGGAGGCGCGCGCCGGAGGCCGCCCGCCCACCTCGCCCTGGGAGCAAACAACCGTCTGAGGCCGGGTGACGCTAAATCGAAAGGGGAGGGGAGGTTCGAGGGAGAGGGGTTACCGGCCGGAATAGGGGTTAAGGGCGCGGGAGCGCAGGCACGGCTCCAGCTCCGGACGGAGCAGGAGGAGGAGGCGGCGGCTCGCGGGCAGCGCCGCCATCCTCCGGCGGCTGGTGCCCTGATGGAGCCGCGCTGTGTCGGCGAGGATTCAACCTCGGGGCCGTATTTTTCCTCCTTTCCGTAGGGTCTGCTGGTACTCTGTCAGTACTTAGGGTTCATTTGATTTGATAGGAATTTGTAGGATTTGGATCCTTAGCAAATTTCGATCCTTAGCAAATTTCCCTATATACGCATTAGATTTATGTCAAGTCAAATATTACAAAATTTAACCAAATTTATATTAGAAAAATATCAACATCAACAATATCAAATATATATGTACTATGAAACTACATTTCATAACAAATCTAACAATATTGATTTGGCATTGTGAATGTTTATATTTTTTTCTATATGTTTGCTCAAAGTAGAGACACTTTGACTTTTGATAAAACTTATATGTAGATTATTTGGAGTATGAATTTAAGGATTTGGTTTGATGAATCCGATTGTGGACGCTGACTTTGGATGCTTGCCCGGTCATTGTCTGCGGACGTATAGGCCGCATAGTAGGTAACTGTGGTTGTAGATCGAAGGGGAACTTTTGGTCTATCAGTGTACAACCTTGCTATACGTACGATTAATTCCTGTCCAACAATGTACGATTAGACACAACCATAGATGATTCAGTTTGTGGGCCGCAGTATTCAGAGATGATCTTCTGTCTGGTCGTACCGTTGTCCGACGCAATAGCATCGTACGCAGAGTAGTTTCGATCAGTGTATATACACCCTATATGAAAAAGATAGTAATTAAATAAAAAAATCTGAAAATATTTTTGAAATAAAGTTCACCTTCCATTGTACTTATAAGAAAAATTCCACAAAATGAAAAAGCCTCGTTGACTTCTTAAAAAAAATCAGCCAAAAAAGTGTGAATAGTGATCTATAATAGCAAATAATTTTTGTTTTTCTGCCCTAAAGTCAACGCTTGGTTTTTGCTTGGCAAAATCTATATACTAGTGCACAAAAATCCAATTTGTTCCAAAAAAATCTAAACCTTTTTTTTACTTTTTTTGTAGTTATTGAAAAAAAATTCTCATATATGGTGTATATACAGCCATGAACTACCAAATGTTGTCTACCACGTGCTATCAAATTGACTTTTCCTTGAATGAGTTCGTGGTGTATCTCTGTGGAATCAAAGTGAAAGTTTTTCCCCGGAAAACTAGGAGCCCCTAAAGAGGCGATTAGGGTTTCGCATGGAGTCCAAGGCGGCCGCCGATCGCTGGCGTCGGCGGGCAGCACTGCTTCGAGCTCGGATGGCTACGGCGCCGGGCTCCTCACGGGACAAGGGTGCTCTCTCGCCCCGAGCAGAGAGGGCGCGCATGGAGGAAGCCATGGGCAAGTTAGATCTCACCGAAGAGGAGGCAACACCATTAGTTCTGGACGATGATGACAGCGGGTCGAGGCAGTTTTGGGCAATCGCAGGCAAGGTTTTGCACCGGAACTTATTGCATATTCAGACGATCGCTAATGCGTTACGCCAGGCTTGGGGAAACCCTAGAGGATTGGTGTTTCGCCCGGCGGGTGAGAACATGTTCATTGCAGAGTTTGAGTCCCAACGTGATCGCAATCGCGTGTGGGAGGGATCGCCGTGGCATATAAGCAAGCACGGAATTCAAAGAGTGTATGCGGCCGTCTGAGCTGCAGTTTGAGAACCTTCAGATTTGGGTTAGGATCCCAAATTTGCCTTTCAATTTGTGGAATGATGTGATGGGAAAAGCAGTGGCCAAACAAATCGATAAGAATGCATCATCTGTGCAATTTGACCCAGTTGGTGGGTACCTGCGAGCTAGGGTTACCATTGATGTAAGAAAGCCTCTTCGCAGGTGGATCTTAATTGATTCTGCAGCAAGAGGTGGGAGGGACTGGTATGATATTCAATATGAGCAAGTACCAAATTTCTGTTTCTCATGCGGGCGACTGGGACATTCTGACCTTCATTGTCTGACTCCTGGTACGCGTGATGAAAAGGGTGAGCTACCTTTTAAAACAAGCCTGAGAGCGCCAGAGGAGAAGAAAAAAGGTGTGTCTAATGATAGCTCGTCCAAGGAGCAACAGTCTAGCCAAAGTAGCACTAAAGATGCTCGTGCTACAAACGCTAGAGCTGATCCCAGTCCAGAGGTTAACTCGCCTAAAAAGAAGCATGATCAGAGGAATAAGAGAAAGGGGGGCCTCATGGAACGAAGCAAGTTTATCGACAGATCACTTTGCCTCCGACTGATCAACCGCAGAAACCACAAATGAA